AAAAAGGCACAGTTCTTAGGGCAGATTCCCCTCCATCACTGACCAAAAGTCAGCACTGCTCTCAAGTCGGACAAGTCACTTCCCAGTGAAGATGCTGCCAATGGCCGGCCCAGACTGGAGGCTTCAAACATGAGCAGTCGCATGCTAGGAAGCAAGACACTAGACCAGAGACCCACTGGTGGTAATTGGTACCATCCCATCAGTCACTGGCTGGACATGCAGCACTAGAAGCTGGGTGAGATTTTTGCCATTCATTTACTGGAGGTGAAATCAGAGCCACCCCGGGATATCTTACAATTCCTTTTGCCCCTAACAACCTCCTTCTCCTAGCTCTGTAAACTGAAGTGCTTTTTCCCTGATATTATCCACCAAGCAGAGGAGCTCCTGTCTGTCCAGACCCACCTGAATCTGTCGCTGTGTTGCTTGGTTTCAGTGCCGAGCACCTTGGCGCAGAGACAGCGTTTGTGCAGTGCCATATGCTTGATGGCACTCCATCAACACCACCAACAGCAGCAATACCCTGTCAGTGGAGATGGGCAAACCTGCCTGTTCTTGTCAGATATGGCAATGCAGACCTGCCGGGACTGGATCATATTGACAAGTCTCTGCTGACACTGAACTATCCCTTCTCTCATCTCCAAGGTCCTTTTGTACTAAATGCTTCATTTTCACCTCCCATACATGTTATTTGCAAGGGAAGTTAGTTGCTTCTTCCATCTTTGCCAGCCTCCTGCCATTTTAATTCCTTCTGTCACTGAAAAGATGTCCTCACGCATATAGCCCAGGGCTTGAAGACCTGGGTGCTCTCCCTGATTTTGCAAGATTCTTGTATAATTTTGCAGAAGTCATCAGCTGGGACAATACAAGTGCTGCATGTTGTTGTGGGGCAGTGCAGGGGAGGCTGAGGGGAGCTCTAGGTAATGCTGTACCTGGGTTGGTAAAATACCTACTGCACTGTGAAGCTGCACTGGTCAGTGCAGAGAAGGGAATGGGCCTGTCTCACTCCCACTGCAGCCTGCTCCTGCCTCATCTGTCACCCCATCTGGTCCTACTTGCCACTTTCCCAATTCTCTCTGTTGGGAACAGCCCCCCGTTCCCCAGAGCCAATATCCTCCCGGTCCTTTGTTAGAGCTTTCTTCATTCTCAGCTATTCCATTTTGACAATCCCACCCTCCTCTCAGCTGCCTTGCCCCCAGAGATCTGTGGCAGTGAGACTGAAAGCTCTTTGGGCTGCAGGTGCTAACGCTCCATGCAGGGCTCTGTCTGTGCTCACACCCCCACAAAGGGCATTTATTTGGGATTTTACCAAATGAGGGGGAGAGAGGCCATCCAGTGCCCAGGGGAGCCCTTGTCTGGTGTCTCAACAAATACATTCTGAAAGCCAGCTCGCTCACAGACAGGGATGCAAGGATTCAGGAGCTGCATGTGTAACACCCCTGGCATTCCCCAGAAAAGGACCCATGAAGTTGGAAGACGGTCACTCAAGCAGAGGAGGCACCTGGGCGCAGGGTGCAGGTATCGGGTAGGAGTTTTGGGAAGCAATAAATAAAGACGTATATGAGAAGCACTGTGCAATGCCAGGGTATTTCCGTGCAAGGCTGCTGCTGCGTTCTGGGTAGCGCATGGTAAGTAACATCATTCTGGTGTGTACAGGGAGTTGTTTCTGTACTATTGGTGCCAATGATCCAGAGAGGAAGGATTTAAAACTGACCAAGCAGAGAAAGATGTGGCTAAGAGTCCTTCTGCATAGTCACGAAGCTTTCTCCCAGCTCCCTGACAGGAGGGCAGGAGTCCATCTCTGCATTCCCATCACTGGCTCACACCTACTCTCTTTCAGGTTGCTCCAGAAGGGTGAATGATGCTGGACAAGGCCATCCTCCTTCTATTCCTCCACTTAGTCATGTGCTCCATCTCTTCTCCTCTCTATCCAGCTCTCAGGTACACTTTGGTCTCCTCGATTTTTCTGCCTACCCTGGATATTTTCCTCATAGCTTCACACCTGGGTATGCAGGGTGCGTCTATACAGCCTCCTGGGTTAGCCTGAGGGCATCACTGAGATGTAAGGCCCTCATCCGCTACTATGCGTCTGGACGTGCATGCTAGGTCACAGAGAGGACTCCGGTGCAGGGGTGGGGAAGGACAGTGGAGTACAGTGCTCTGGAGCACACTCACCCCACTCTGAACTAGTCAGGCCTGCTGCAAGTTGTAGCCTGGTCACATGCACATAGGCAAGGTGTGGCACACTCGCATGGGGCACAGACACACCTGTAGTGGGGCCATCACTTTTTGGGCTTCCCTCTACTGCTCTGACAAGATATTACAGTGCCAGCTGGTTGCAACCGTGCTGCTATGTCAACCTCCTCTAAGTGCTAGCAGTGCATTTCAGTCCTAACAGGAAATGCCCTCTGCCCCAAACACCATCAATTAATTTCAGCCCTGCTTGGGAGCACCCTCTGCGGGACCCATACTACCCCCCTGGACCCAGAGTGTCCCCTGCCATTTTTGCCTTGATCCCTGCCCCAGATTTATAGCTCTGCCAGCTCACCCTAGCCCTGACCCACATCCCCTCATGCTCCTTCAGATTGGACTGCCTCCCACACAGCCGTCACTTCACCTCTGTCCTGACCTGCAGCCCCTCCCCACCATGCCAGCTTGCAGCAGCTTCTGCCTAGACACTGCAGGTTGTGCCAAATCATCTTTTTTTAAAAAAAACATCATTTTCTGCTTCAGTGAGGACAAGCTTTTCCTCCTCCTCATCCCTCTGGCTGGGAGGAAAGCTCACGATGTTGCCGCTTCTCCACAAGCAGCTGTTTATCTCCTTGGCTATCTCATGATATTCTCCTGTTTTAGTCTAGATCCTCTGCTCATGCTAGGAGCACAGCTATTGATGGAGCCTGGCTAGGCCCCCATGCCAGCATTTGTCAGCCCACACAACTGCCTAGCTGGGCTGGTGGGTGCACAATTAGGATGGGATGTAGCTGCTTGCAATAGTGCACTGTCCTTGCTGCTATTGTTAATGTATCTGAGTCTGACATAAAGGCAAGTACATTAGGCAGCTGAGGGGAAGGCCAGATTCAGACAAGCAAATAGCACTTTAAGGTGTTCCTGGAGATGAGGACTGGTGATAACTGGGCCAGCAGCTTGTATATTCACAGCAGGTTCGAGCAAAAGCTAGCTTAGTCATTTGCCATGTAGCAGCTTCAGCTAGCCTTGTTGGTGATGGTGGGGAGGTCAGGCTCCATGGTCCAGCCAGTCATTGTCTTCTCCACCAATATGACCAAAGGGAGCTGATTCTGAAGACAGTCACTAGAGGGCTTGGTGCAGTACAGAAATCCAGATGGATTCACAGAGAAGTAATATCCATCCATCCCCCACATGTGGGCTGAGTTACCATCAGATAGCAATAACTTGGTTGCTGCCAAACTGGGCAGGGTTTGAATGAGTGGTCTACAGCACATTGGCCCTCATAACTTGATAGCAATTCTCCAAACCCTCTACTCTAGCCTTTGGCAACACAGCACACAAAAAACATTAACAGGACACTCATAAGTTTGCATAGTCATGCACTCTAAAGTTAGCTCATGCCAGAATTTAGGTTGCTGGGGCAATCTCATGGGCCTGTCCACTGGAATGAATGCTTGTCTCTGGTCTAAGGCCCATTTAATTACTTGTGCAGAGTGAGACTGTTCCAGCAAGGGAGACTGACTTGATATATCAGCAAGAGGGCACTCACCTGGGATGCAGAGTTGTCTGTGTCAGGCAGAGTGAGGAGCTGAGCCTGGGCCAGCCAGATCCTAGAGTGCTCCCAGCCCTGGGATGTTGGCTGTGCTGTGCTGTGCTAGGGCTCCCTTCTCCTGACCAGAAAATCCATCACAGACTGGAAAAAAACTTTCCTGTCAAAACTGGCACCTACATCTCTGCAAACTGCTCCAGTTTGGATGAATCAATATTTTATAATGTTGGAAAATTCCCAGCCAGCTCTGTTCCTGCCAAGAGCCACTCTGCTGACAAATTCCCAGCTCCTGCTCCAATGCATGGAAAAAGCAAAGGGTTTTTTCAGTGATCTCCTTACTAAGGTATCAACCAAATCCCCCTGGCTTCTCAAACATGTTCTGGACCATTATGCCTACACCACCACTCCAACCAGACGAAAGCATGGAGGCACTTGAGTATCTCAGAATGAAGGTCTCAGAAGAGGTTTTCTTCAGCAAGGATAAAACCAATACATCTCCCTCAAACTTCTATTTTGGGAAGGGCTGAACCCCTTCAACTGGAATTAAAAACATTAGCTTCAGGGAGACATCTACCATACAAAATTTCAGCCAAGTTATAAGCAATGGAAAGCAATGTCTTGTCACTGCAAGTGTCAGGCAATCTTAATGAGCGGTGTTATACGTTCTGGCCTGGATTAAGTAGAGAATACAAAATCTTCTCCTTTGCATATTCTATTATTGGTTCCTTGCATTAAAGTGAAGGCTGTAGGCACTCTGGTGTATGAACTGAAGGGTTGTCTCACCCAGCCTCTTGTCTAAATTTCTCTGTCACCTTCACAAATTGGTGAAGGCGCAATGCTGGGTGCAACTAGAATCTGAGGCCACCAAATTCATGCCATTGCAGGGAAAATCATTTAGCTTAGCTTCCCCTTTCTGACATAGTGAAAACCAGATCACTCATATTTGTCCTGGGTATATTGGCAGCTCATAGAAAAGAGACACCTGAGACCTGATGTCTAGTGCAGTGCTATAAGTGACATCCAGGCAGTTGCTAACATGTGGAGTAAAGCAATGGGCAAGGCCTGTGCGTTACTCATGAGACAGGGAAGAAGAGAGGATAGGACACACAGAGATGAAAGCAGCAAGTGCCATTTGAGGGGACTGGTGGTTCTCTCAGTCCAGCATCTCAGTGGTACAGAGAAGGTGAGCAGGGCTGAAATTTAAACATGGCTCAAGTGCTGCGTTGGCTCTTTTACAGATACAACCCAGGGCCCATTGCTGGCAAGATGGTGAGCTTTCAGCTCCGGGACAGCGGCCCAACGCAGAGCCACAACCTCTCTGCTGAAGAGCAGGAAGTGGAGAGTTTTCTTACTGATCCTGCTGAAAAAAGGTGGGTGCCTCACTCTTGAGCCCCAGCTCACAATGGAAAGAGCCCCGGTTAAATTCTTCCTGCAGTGAAGCCCAAACAGAAACAGCAAGAGGACTCAGGAGCCCAGGGATGTTTTGTAGAAAAAGCTCCATTTCCAGGGCTGGCCACAAATTTTCCAGTCAACATTTCAGCAAGTGGCTTCCCTCAGCTGGTAGCAATGAGCCAGGGCTCCTCCATTCACCCTCCCTAACACCCATTCTCCCTCCAACCTCTCCCTACTCAAGTTTTGCAATCCTTTTACCATGTTGTGTTCTGCTGTATGGATGCTGATTGGGCTGGTAGCATTTTTTCCTGCTGTCTGCTTATCATGCATTTTTACATCAAGAGCAATACATTTTCTGACCTAGCAGTGCCCAGACCTTGGCAAGATTGTGTAATGGGCACTTATCCCTCCAGGTCAGATCTCAGCAGCACTTGAGTCAGGTGCTCTGCAGCATTTCTCAAAGGTCTTCTTTTCCCGAAAGGTTGACTTTCCAAGGGAGTTTTTGCAGTTCTCTTGTGTATCCCCTCCGCAGGATGCAGCGACACGCAGATGCCATATTCACTGACAACTACCGGAAATTCCTGGGGCAAATCTCTGCCCGCAAGTTCTTACAGACCATTATAGGCAAGCGGCTGGGGTAAGCCAACCTTTGCTGCTCCGCTGGGTAAGTGGGTTGGGCACTGGGCAGCCTCTTCTGTAAAACAGCTTTCCATCCGGGCCCAGTGGAACCATCTCCTCTCCTAGCCAGGCTCTCATCTCAGTTCTCACTCCTCCATCAGTCCCCCAGCTTGCTTTGTCTTGTGGGAGTCCTGCATTTCCATTTTGTAGGATTTATGCCATCACAGTTCTTCTCCCTGGGCAGGCTATTTAACCTCTGCCTTCCCAGGCTTTCAATGAGACTTCTCCTAGATCTCTGCTACCATGTTTGTAACCAACTAGAACCTTTGTGGAAAGCCAAGTAATTGATATCACTCACTGGGGGGGAAAATAACATAGCTAGTTCCCACCCTGCTTTGGAACAGGGGGAAAACAGCATCCACTTTGCTGCTCCCATGGCTTGGACAACATCCAATGCTGGTAAACCAGATGGAAGACATTTTACAACTGCAGCCCAGCAATGATCTCCCTCTGGGCCATCCCCATTCTTACCCAAGAGCCTGGAAGCCTGGAAGACCCTGAATCAACCTCCCTTATCAGAACTCCCTTGCACCACAGATCTCTTCTCCTTACAGAAAGTAGTTGAAAGACCTGCTTGTGAAACTAACCATCCATTTCTGTTTCCTTCTTCCCTGAAGCAGTGAAGGCAGCTCAGGGGAAGGGGTGCATGAATTCTTGACCAGGCGCCAGTCTGACAGTATCTTGATGGACAGCCGCTATCACCAGCAGATGGTATTAAGAAATTTCTTGGGAGCCATTCTACAGAACCAAAGGTAAGTAGAGAGCTCTACCTGGGAATGAAGGCCTCTATGATCCTAACCTCATTGCAGGCTTCAGGAGCTTTGGCTCTATACTTCAATGGGAGCAGGAAAAGCTTTTTGTTCCTGTTGACTTATGAAGGTGGGACCATGTGGCTATGTCCAATCCTTCAAGTACGCTGAAGATGAAAGCAAAGTTCCTACCAGGCAGCAAAGCTCACATCTTCCCCACCAGGGACAAGCCCATCATAGCTGCATGACTGGGAGCTTGGCCAGAGCCTGCCAGCAGCAGATGTGGTACTAAAGCCACTCCCTGTGGATTTTTCTTTGTTGTTCAATTCTCTTGCGAGAAATGTAGGTGGGGGAATATATATTATGCCCTTCCCATCCTCTCCTGTCATGCAGGCCTCAGGATGCCACCAGTGATCAGCTAGATGACTTTACCAGCACCTTGGCCAAGCTCATGAAACTGTAAATAACTCACCCCACACCCCATCTGGTTCTGGTGAGTATGAGTCTCTAGCTGCTGAGCTGTGGGCAGTGTCCAGCTTTGGCAGTGCTCCATACTGAAGATCAGTTTCTGTACGAGCCAGTGGTGTTCCAGCTTTTGTTTCAGTCCAAAACAACTCCTGAATTCTATGGGAGTGGAGAGCTCAAAGCTCCCTCTCAAAAGTCAGGTCACTTACTGAGGCATCTAAAAGTCAATTTGAAGGCTGTTTTTTGTTTGGAAAGGTCAGCCATATAGATAGATGCTGACTTTAAACAACGCCTTTGTATACAGAGATCAAAGAGCTGCAGGGCACCAAGTGGCCTCTCAGGGAGCATACCACTGAATGCTAGGTCCCAAGTCTCCACTTTTGCAGGGCAGGGTCCTAAGACTCCACAGCTCTGAGACAGGGCCTTACATTCAACCACTGCCTTTTTCATGGTGGTTCCTTCAACAAGTCCAAAAAGCTTGACGCCTGTTAGGGGGCTGGGAAAATGCTTGGAAGCCAGGCAACCAGATGTTGGCTGAGACGCAGTCCAGCTTTTTCTAAGCAGGCCAGTCAACTAGAATAAAATGTTTAGGAACCTTGGGTTAGAATGAAGAAGTAAAGCTTGCACCGTGCTGTTTGTAGAACCTGCTCAGAGCAAGCAGGAATCTCTCCCCCTGTCCTGCTGTTCACATTGCATCTGCATCCCTTGGCCTGCAGTTGTTAGAAGCCGATTTTCAGTTGATCTGCCTCTGTGCTCCAAAAGGTAACTCCATTCAATGCAAAAGTTCTCAACAGGTCAACAGGACACCAACCCAGATGCACCTATTGACCAACTCTCTTATTCCCTAGTTTAGGGAAGAAGTCAACCCTGCCAATCCAAAGAAAGCACTATAGAGAAGTGAGGAAATAAAGTCTCTCAAACTCACTTGGGCCCAGATGCCAGTTCTTTGCCTGTTTAGAGCCAATCAACCAGCTTGGCTTGGCTTACTTTTAAAGTTTAAGTTCCTCTCTGCACAGCTCTGGAGTTTTGTCCCCTAGGGAACTGATTACACACAATGTTCTTCACATTTCCTTTAATTTAAGCTAAGTTACAGCACCCAGCTATAATGCTCCACTTTTAGCAAAAGGAAGCCCCTGGGCTTTGTTTTTCCCCATGTGAGGTTCTGGCTTCACAGCTATTTCTCACAGTGGGTCCTTCAATGAATTTAAAAAGGAATTCATCTACTGACGAAGTCTCATCTCTAGGGCAACCAGCAGATGTTCACAACAATCCAGGACAGCCTTTCAAAACAAGCCAGCATTTATTAGTTAGTACTGGGGTCCTTAGAATAAAGTGGAGAAGCAAGTTCTATGGCATGGCCACACGGACAGCACAACCTGCTGCCCTGGCCTCAACACACCCAGGGTATTCTCTCACTTCATTGGCAGCAGGATTCTCATCAGCACCCTTCTTCTCTTAAAACAGCATACCAAAACCTGAAACGCAAGTTCTGCTTCTGTTGGCTGGCAATTAGTGTCTGAGAAATTATCTTCTGTAGCATTTCCAGTATAAGGCCAACATATGGTGGCAATTGGGTAGTTCTGTCCCACTAACCCAGACATGCCTACCTGACCAACCTATACCTCTTATTCCTGTGTCCCCAAGAAATTCTAATAGACCAGCATACAAAAAGAAAGTGGGGGCAGAAGTCATGTTATAGAAGTACAGTTTCCCACATTTTTACAAAAAGAAATTAAATAAGCCAGAAGTGTGTAATCACCCGGAAAAGCATCAAACTTCTTTATCCTCCTTACCCTTCTTGCTTCACTTCGATTTTGATTTATGTCCACTTGCTGCCAAGTGATGACAGCTAAGTAGAGCCTCTGGTTAATGTAATGAACATCTGCTGTGTTTTTGCTCTTAAACAGCTGCCTTATAATGTTTTTTTCCCTTCTGCACAGAATAATTCAGAGATTGTGGACTTAACTGTACAGTAAACAACTCACAGACCAGAAGAAACAACTCCTGGACCTGAACAGCTGTAAAATTCATGCATATGCTTCTTGGAACCCCTGGATGCTCTCCATTAAAGGACTAGGATTTCAATTAACATGCCTTTGTTAATTTGAAGGTCCTTGTAAAGTAACAACCCTTTTACCTCACCCCTGTGACTGTACTTGAGCAAAATTTTACTTTTATTTGCTGCTGCTCCGCATAGGGCTCATCTATCCTATACCTGACTAGCCCACAGCAGAATCTGTGTTGCTATTACCTATAACCTAACAGTTTTTAATCAAATGCTACAGAAAACATCTGCTTGCTGTTCAGATTGAGAGTTTAACTCAATAAATATTCAGGCAATCCCAAGTTATGTTTTGGTATCCAAATCAATTTATCCATATGTACTGATTTGATACCTCCCTCTGACTGATCCTGTTCGAAGTGGAGAGGGGATAAGCATTGCATGACTGTATCTTACAAGTTTTCTTTAGGGGAAGAAAAGCTCCCAAGCATTTTCAGTCTACTAGAAACCGCACTGGAGCCTCAGGCCTGACTTATTTATCCAGTCAGGCCTACCCATATGGATCACTTGCAGCAGGACTGAACCCACTAGCAGGTACTAAGGCTCTGTAGCCTAACCTTGTGTTGTTGAAACAGGAGAGGATTGGCTTGCTTGCTTTAAATGAGACTGGTACAACAGGGGTGGGAACTTCCCATTACACTGATACACCATTTCAGTCATTTAACAGAGGACTACTAACTAAATTCAGGGCCTTGTCTAGATCCCTCTTTAACTGCTGTTTAGAAGGAAGAACACTTTATTGTCTTCCTTCGATGACCTTACCCACCCAGGAAGAACAACATTATTCTGCTTCCAGTTCCAATCTTCTGATTTTCCAACAACTGCACATGTAACAATTATGCCTTCAGGATGAACTGTAAATAATTTCAGGGTGGGTCTAACCTTCCCATCACTGCAGCAGAAATAAAAGCTGTTCTGAACAAACTTGTCCAACAGCAGGGCCAGATTCTTCTTGGTCTCTTGAGACGTGTGCCCATTTCTCTCCCAAGAACTCCTATATCATTAAACATTAACAAAGCAGCATTTGACAGCTGGATTCTGCAAGGGCTAATTCTAACAGCAGTGCTAACATACGGGTATAGGTCACAGAAAGAGAATGTGAGGATGCCTGCACCTGCCAACTTCAGCCAGGGGTAGATGCAGGCACAAGTTTGCACATGCATATTTGCAGGATAAGACCTTTGAAAATATCCCCCCCTTTCATTTTCCATTAGGTGGTCAGCTTGATCAATGTGAAGCACAGTCCAGCTGTTTTTTTCTGAGAGGATGGTAAAAAAGAAGATAGGCCTACCGTGCATCTGAAAATACATTCTTAGGCCTCAACTTAGCTTCTAGATTTGTGGTAAAAAAATGTTCTTGCAATGAACTACAGCCAGAGTCAGCTGGGAGAAGAGCTGACAGTTAAAATGCCTAGCCTACTTGCATGTGGGTAGATGAAGTCTATCCTTTTGCTCCTACCTACTGATGTAAAAATACAGATGCAACTAAAGATGCAAGTTTCAAGGGCTACCTAAAACTACACCCCAAGGAGTACAACTCCCTACGTATTCCATTAATGTCAATCAAGGGTACTATAGAAAGTCACTCCAGATTTCCTTTAGCCATCCCATGTTAGGCTAATACAGTGACTCTCAGGTCCTCTGCTCAACAACTGGAATGATGGGTAAGAACCTGAAGGGTCCACAGGGCCAGAGGAGAGATCTGAAGTGTTGAGGCAGGGCACTCTCTCTTGCACACAATTTTTACATAAATCTCAAATTATGCATTAAAGGTTAAAATCCTCCCCACACTTTTAAAAATGCTATGTTTTACAAAGAAAACTTGGAATAAAGGAGCTAAAATACCTGCGAGAAGCTACAACTGAGTGTCAATTGCTGGCACATCACTATTACCTGGTTTGTAGAGTGCCTGGCACAAGGGGTCTCCATTCTTGGTTGACTTTTAAGGCATCACTGTACAAACACTATCTATACTAACACCGAAGTGGCAAAAGGCCTCTGACCTTGGCCTTTTGATGCATAGAGCAGGGGTGGGCAATTATTTTGGCTGGAAGTCTGCTTAATGAGTTCTGGTGAGCTGTCAAGGGCTGCTCAGGTAGCTCCGCCCCTTGACAGGTGCCCCACCCCCTGGTTGCCATTTTAGGACTTAATCCGTGTCCTTTACCACCAGAAGTCCTTCACTTTGCTCCAGATATACTCCTTTTGGGAGCAGTGTTGCCATCTTGAAACTGGAAAAAAATTCCCAAATCATATACTTAAAAAATAAATAAATAAAAAAAATCAAACATCTACAATATTTTAACTTTTTAAAAATTATATTAAAAAAAAAATCTTTTTGTCCTGATTCATGTGTGTGTGCATAGTGTATCTAGAGGTGGTTGCGTAACAGTTCAAAATACTCTTAGTCTTGTATATTGTGTGTGGGGGATAAGGGGGTATATGTGGGGTGGTGTGGCTGGGGAGTGTGCGTTTGTGTGTGGTTGGGTGTGAATATGGTGGATGGGGTGTATGTGGTTGGGGTGGGGTGTATGGGAGGGGGTGGGGGCTGTGGGAG